GGGGGGGGGAGCAGTGGAAGGAGGCGGTCAGTGGTCAGCGATCGGCCAAGGCCTCGCTTAAAGCCCCGTCGTCCCCTTGGGCCTCCTGTGCGCCCTCTTGCAGCCCACAATGACGAGGTGTTTGGAGGGCCGCAGAACGCAGGGGAAGAGCTCAGGCCGACCCAGGTTCAAATCCCTCTCCACCACTGACGAGCCAGATGGCCTCGGTGTCTCAACCACACCCCAGGAGAGCAATGTCTGGGGGATGGCAGCTAGGCTGGTGGTTCCCCACCAGAACTGGGGTCCCAGGGGTGGGGTGCTGGGGGGCAGTGGCATCGGGGGTGGCCCTCACCATGCGCTGCAGCTTTTCCTCCAGCTCCTGGTTGATCCTCTGCAGCGTCATGTAGTTGGTCTGAATCCTGGAACAGGAGGCAATGGGGCCACTGCCAAGCCAGGTCTGGCCCTCCCACGACCCCCACGGCCATGCAGCCTGCTGGGTAGGGCCAGGCTGGACCAAGGCCCTTGAGCCCACCCACTGGCCCCTCCCTAGTCTAATGTCTCCAGGCGCAGCGGAAAACATCTGATCAGAGCTAACTTGTTGGAGGGGTTTCCTGGTCCGGGGTCCAGGACCCCTGGAGACAGAGGGAAGGCCTGTTATTCACTGCGACTCTGCCGGGCCCTCCCTCAGAGCCCGCTGACTCAGGTTCACACGCAGTGCTTACAAGCCTGGCTAGGGGATGCATGCGCAATAGCAGATGAGCTGGGGAGAGACCTAACACTGTGGGATGGGCCCTGGGTGAGTGCTGGCGACACACGGTCCCCTGGAGGAAGGGTGGCATGGAGGCGAGTGCCAAGTAGGAATCAGGTGCTCTGAGCCCCCTCTGCAGCCACAGAGTGTGACAGGGAAGGAGTTTGGGACAGTGACAGTCCCCTTGACAATCTGTGTCTAATATTATTGCCCCGACAATAGGAAAACTGAGACTAGAGGTGCTTAAAGCAGTTAAGTGGCAGAGCTGAGAATTTAACGGAGGCCTGACTGACTGTCCAAACTTGGTTCCTACATGACTCTATGGTGGCATTCAACAAGTCCAGGACAAACAGCCTCTCGGGCAAATCCTGTCTCGGGCAGCACCAGCCATGACAAATATTTAAAAGAGGCTGAGCCCTGGCTGGTGTGGCTCAGTTGGCTGGGCGCAGGGTTGCTGATTCGATTCCCAGTGAGGACACACGCCCGCGAAGCAGGCTCGACCGTGTGCAGGAGGCAGCCAACCAATGTCTCACTCTCCTATCAATGTTTCTCTCTCTCTAAATCAATAAAAAAAAATCTTAAAAAACAGAAGGAAAAAAAGAAACCGAGCCAACAGCAAAGTTTGCGCTCTCTGCCGTCTTCCCGAAAGAAGGCTGGAGAGTGTGATACGGTTTAGAAAAATGTCCCTCTCAAGGTGCGCAAGAGCAAGGTTTTGAGAAAAGTTTGGTTTTTAAGGGAGTAATTACTCAGGGACCCCCGCACCTCCTGGACACTCCACTCACTGCCACGCTGCTCAAGGGAATGTCCCTAAGCTCTGGTTCATCTCCAGGGCTAGGCATTGCCTTTCCCATCAGGGACTCGGGACAGTGGGGCCCTGGTGGGGCAGCTGGGGTCTGCTTCTGTGTCACGCTGCTGCCCCACCAAGTCAGTATGACAAGGAAGGACCAGGGGATGGGAGGTGGCTGGAAGGAGCCTGTCCCTGCCAGTGGCCAGACCCGGGTTCAGATCCTGGCTCAGTAGCTCTCTGAACAAAGTGCGACTTTGGGAAAAGGCCTTACCCTCCCTGCGCCCTGGGCTCCGCACCTTCCCCCTGCTGCGGTGGGAAGCCGAGCTCGGGCGCCGCCCCGCGCCGC